CATATTAAAGCGTCTTTGGTTTTTCCATGTTTTCTACAAAACAAAACTGGAAATCGAGGGGTTATGACGTCATTGGCAGGCGACACAATGACACTATTGACACGGCCCGTGTCACTAGTTAAAATTGCTTATTTCTCTGGATTTAAACATTCTTCGAAACATTTGGGATAATGTAAGTACACAAGTCAGCAAAATATATAACACTGTTCTAGTGGTTTTTGGATATTTTAATTTAAAAATCTTACATATTGTGCCTTTAAATTAAATAAAAAAGTAAAAAAAAAATGTTTGGGCACAAAGTTCTTGTGAAATGTTAGCAAATAAAAAAAAATTTAATTAATTAATTTATTTATTCATTCAGAAAAAAGTAAATCAAATTAAATCAAATAATTTTTTTAATTAAAATTAAATAAAAATAGCATAAAATAAAAATCACATGTTTTGGCACAAGGTTCTTCTGAAATGCTAGCAAATAAGAAATGTAATTAAAATAAATGTATTCAATCATTTAGGAAAAAAGTAAAATATATATATTTTTTTTAATCACATATTTGGGCACAAAGTTCTTGTCAAATGCCAGCAAATAAGAAATGTAATTAAAATTCATTTTTTCAATCATTCAGGTAAAAAAGTAAAATAAAAACAAAACAAAATCACCTGTCTGGGCGCAAAGTTCTTCCCCTTGACAAAGACCTGGTATGACGGGCCCCGTCGCCTTCGACTAGTTAACGTCTCTTTGTCTTTTTGGTGTCTCCTGTGCCTGACACTCAGCACACCATTGGTCATCCCCACGGCAAGCGCTTCATCATCAGGCTAAAGGAGAACCACAATAAACAACCCTTTAATTCAAGTGCAAATGAAAAATCACATTTATAAGTTTATATATATATATATATATATATATATATATATTTATAGATTTCTTTGTGTGAATGAACTAAACATACCGCAATAGCCATACTAAGGATGGATGCATCACAGTCGAAATTATGTGCAACCTTATAAGAGGAGTTATACACTTTGACGTGCCTAAAATGAAAAGCAACCAAAACAAATAAACCCAACTTTCTCACCACAGGCTCACGAAAATGCACAAATAAGCACGTATAGCATTTCTTTACTATGATTCACACACCTGTCCAGTGATCCTGTGAGCAGTTTGTTGCCTACAGAACTCACACATGCACACGTAACTGTTTTGTGATGATTCTTAAGAGAAACAAGCTCCTGTCCGCCTTTCAACAGGTCCCAAACTTTCACATAACGCCCTCCTGTAACACATACACCAACTTATTTCAACCGGTTTTTGGAAGAGCCACATTCAAGCTGACATAAAAGAGCACATCAGTTGAAAACTACATTAATGCACCAAGTCTACAGTATATTTTTGCATTATGATATATGCGAATAAATGGTTGCAAGGGGTTCTAAGCATTACTAATCAACCCCCAACCCCCAACCCCTGATTGGTTAAATTACAAGTGTTGTTCACCTGTGGACACCAGCAGGACTTCTGACGGGTACAACAGCACACACTCCACAGGATGGCCGTGTTGCATGGTCATCACACTGCTCCCTGACCGCATGTCAAACACTTTCACTGTGTGATCATACGAACCTGCAACAGAGACGACAATCACACAAACATCAACTACTCTACAAAACATTACTTTTACAATCATATTAAATATTATACACTACCACTTAAAGGTGACATATCATGAAAATCTGACTTTTCCAGGTTTTAAGTGCTATAATCAGGTACCCGGTGCATCTACTACTGAAAAATATTAACCCAGTAATTTTGTTTTGGTAAGCCTTTTTCGGCAAGCATCTGAAAAAACGAGCACGTCTTGATTTCGCTCCCCTAGTGACGTTGCAAAGGGATCTCATTATAATATTACCGCCCCTTATTCTGTAAGTTATAACGGTGTATAACTTACAGTACAACGGTGTACCAGCTCTAATGCCATGGTGAAAGTTTGAGCAAAACACGCTAACTGTTCTGTCTTTGGCTGCACAGACGAGCACAGAACACTGTTTAGAGTCCCAGCCTCAGAGGAGACAAGAGAGCAGTGGATTTATTGATTTATTTACTGTATATTGCTGCTGCCACACAGATCTAATATAAACATGCGATTTATTTCCCAGCAGTTTACCTTCACAGACATAACCGACTGTTTTTGTAACTCATGTGTTTTTAATGTAAACTTGTGTGTGAATGAGAACTTAGTTTAGTACTCAAATGCCGTGTGACAGCCGCTTTCTGTCCGTGTGCTTCGGATGTGTGCGCTCAGAAAACCGTATATAAGAAGTTTCAACTAATAATATTTAAAACGCATAATTTCAGAGCAATAAACATGATAATCAGAACCAAAACAGAAGTTTTTTAGCAGGTACGAGCTGTAATGGCGCAGCTTTATTCTGGAAAAGGGGGCGGGGAACAGCAGCTCATTTGCATTTAAAGAAACAGGCCCGAAAAACAGCGTGTTTCTGCTTCCACTCAAAATAGGCATTTTCAAAATGATATAATAAATTATCTGTGGAGTATTTTGACCTGAAACTTCACAGACACATTCTGGGGACACCTGAGACTTATATTACATATTGTAAAAAGGGGCATGTCTCCTATAATTTTGGGGGTTGGTAAGATTTTTGTGTTTTTGAAAGTCTCTTTTGCTCACCAAGGCTGCATTTATTTGATCAAAAATACAGTAATATTGTGAAATATTACAATTCAAATGAATTGTTTCCTATTTTACTATATTTAAAATTTTAATTTATTCCTGTGATGCAAAGCTGAATTTTCAGCATCATTATTCCAGTATTCACTGTCACATGATTCTTCAGAAATCATTCTAATATGTTGATTTGCTGCTCAAGAAACATTTATTATTATTATAAATGCTGAAAACAGTTTAATATTTTTGCGGAAGCTGATACTTTTTTTTCCAGGAATCTTTATGATTACAAAGTTCAAAATAACATTTATAGAAATTCATTATGTCTTTACTGACACTTGTTGTCAATTTAATGCATCCTTGCTGAAAAAAAGCATTAATTTCTTATTAAGAAATCTTATTATTTTTACTATTTTATTAGCTATTAATGAAATTAATAATACCTATCTATCTATCTATCTACAAAATTTTTAATACATTCAAACATTAAATATAGCAGGATATTTATGGAAACAATATTAAAACATGAGAAGAACGACATAATTAAAATCGGAATGTGATTTCTGTATCACCTAAGAGAATTTATAAAAAAATGAATTGTGAAAAAATAATATTTTCAAACAGTCCATTGGTCAAACAAACAGACTGCAAATCCACGCAGTCCTGTTCCACAAATGTAGTTTTAACCTCTCAGACTTGTTGCTAATATGAAACAAAAGCATTCAGATTGGTGCAGATTTAAGTGCACATTCATATTAAATGTACAGATCTGGCTAAGCCAGAATCCAGGGAATAGAGATGTAGTGATCATCTGTGAGGTGCAGATGAGAATTAAAGCAGTTACCTGTGACAAACAGATCTGGGTTGAGTTTGCTGGGGGCGAGAGCTCTGATGTAGTCTGTGTGTTGAGTTAACGAGCTGAGCTCAACAGCACTGGGAACGTCCCACACACGGCACGACAGGTCATCAGACCCCGACACCACACGAAAGCCGTCAGACAGGAACGAGGTCATGTGTACCGCCCTGCTCATAGGAGACAGCAGAGAAAACACCCTTGACTGCTGACAGAGCTGCTTTACAAGGGTGAAAGATGTGATTTGAGGGATTTAAGTTATTGAACACATTATTTTTTAGCATTTATTTCATGCCGTGTCATACTTGGAGTGTCCTTTGAACTGTCTGAGAGCCACTCGGCCGCTGATGTCAAACAGCCGGATAAGTCCCTCTTCACTTCCCGCCACTAAAAGCTTCCCGTCGCCTCTGAAGCGCCCTCCATACGCTGTATCCCGAAAACGTGTGAAGCTCCGTATGGGCTCTTGAGAGTGGGGTCCATATATGTGGATCTGATGCAGAACATTATAATATCAGCATACTGCATGCGTGTGAGTAGAATCATGCTAGCAACAGTTCTGAAATGGGTTTAATTCTAAGGGAAAATACAAGTGAATCTCACAAAAACAAGTGCAGGTCTTATATTTTTTTAACATTGTTTTTTGTGCATTTTTTTTAATGACAATTAAGCACATTTTATCCTAAAATCATCTGCACTGTAATGCATACAAACATTTTACTTATTTGTAGCTCTGATTATTTATTATTATTAAAGGTTCTCATTATATAAGTAATGTTTGAATGATTTTTGTTTTCATTTTTTTTTTATTCAAAACTATTTATTATTATTACTATTCATAATAATTCAAATAAAATAAATGTACATATAATACACCGTATACATACTATTTAATATATTCATAGAATAAACATAACAGAATATTTATACGCATAACATTAATATTATAATAACTTTATACATGAGAACAAAATATTTTTTTATATTTATTAACTTTTGAATTCTATTTACTGTATTAATAATTTTAAATTTAAATAAGCATAATAACAGGCTGTATAACAAATAAATAAATTGTGTGTGTGTATGTGTATATATACATAGATAGATAGATAGATAGATTAATATAATAATAGGCCTATATACAGAACTGATATAATGATACAACCATTCAGAAAAAAAAGCTCTTTATGTCACTTTGAATAAAAGCGAAAATTAGTACATGAATATGTTAATACAAAAGAAAATGAAAGACAAATTGTCTCACTCTGGTGGAGGCTGTGACGGCATAATTGTGAGGTGGGAGAGGAGAGAAGTCGATCTTTGTTATAGCACCAAACTCTTTAATTTGCACAGGAGACTAAAAGACAAAACGCAGACTGTCAGTGTATATAAATACTGAAAAACTTGTAAGATATGTTGCCCAATCAAAACACCTATATACATTTTCCTTTGGACATATAAATCATAAAATGTGTCAACAACATCTCAAACCTTGTAATTCTTCCAGTAGAGTGTTTCCTCCGTTACTTTCTCTCCTAGTTTAGGAAGGAACTGAACTTTGGTGGGTTTAAATGAAGCCATGTCAGATATGAACACTGGTTCCCAGCTAAAGCAGGTTCACTCTGAGGACCTGCAATATCACAACACTTCAGGTGACTCCAGCATTCACACGGTCAGAATGCAAACAACACAACCAATATAAGGCAACGGCACATTATAGAAAACAAGTACAAGGCACAGGTTCCCAGACTTTAGAATTTGAATAAATTAGAACTGTCTAGATTTCAACGTGATACCGTTTTCAAATGTTTTGGATTAATACATTTTCAGTGAATATGACATCTGGCAAACACAATATCATTGACAAATTACACATTTCTAAAAGTCTTTCCGATATATTTTATATAACGTTAAATATATAAAAGACAGTCACATTGGGAAGTTATGGGAATATTTGCAGCTTGTTAAAATTGCATGCAGGACGAAACATAATATGCCCAAGATCGCGATTAAAATCCCTGTGTAACTTACATCTATTTCTTCATCTAATAAGTCATACCTCCGTCAACCACACTTATACACTCTGACAGGAGTTTAACTCTTTTCTGAGGTTTGTTTTCAGAATCTTTTAATCTAAAAATTATAAGGTACATCTTACCTTATTGTGGTTTCCACCAATTTTTAAAATTATTTTTGGATGATTTTTCTTTACGGTACAGACTAGAAAACATGAGCAAATTCACGTTGATTTTACAGCCATATGGAGGCCGCCATTGCGTGACGTCACATTTCCGGTTTTGAGCAAACTTTATTGCACACATGATCCTTTACAAACTGAGAGTAACTACCGTATTTTACTGCGTTCTTTGTGAATGTTAAAACAAAGTATACTTACATGTACATATACACGCAACAGCAAATGATCAAATAAGTTTTCTTGGCTTTCTTACTGATGACATTTTTCAAACAGGACTTCCTTAAAGGGGTCATATGATGCGATTTCAATTTTTCCTTTCTCTTTGGAGTGTTACAAGCTCTTGGTGCATAAAGAAGATCTGTAAAGTTGCAAAGACTAAAGTCTCAAATCCAACAGCATTCACACGGTCAGAATGCAAACAACACAACCAATATAAGGCAACGGCACATTATAGAAAACAAGTACAAGGCACAGGTTCCCAGACTTTAGAATTTGAATAAATTAGAACTGTCTAGATTTCAACGTGATACCGTTTTCAAATGTTTTGGATTAATACATTTTCAGTGAATATGACATCTGGCAAACACAATATCATTGACAAATTACACATTTCTAAAAGTCTTTCCGATATATTTTATATAACGTTAAATATATAAAAGACAGTCACATTGGGAAGTTATGGGAATATTTGCAGCTTGTTAAAATTGCATGCAGGACGAAACATAATATGCCCAAGATCGCGATTAAAATCCCTGTGTAACTTACATCTATTTCTTCATCTAATAAGTCATACCTCCGTCAACCACACTTATACACTCTGACAGGAGTTTAACTCTTTTCTGAGGTTTGTTTTCAGAATCTTTTAATCTAAAAATTATAAGGTACATCTTACCTTATTGTGGTTTCCACCAATTTTTTAAATTATTTTTGGATGATTTTTCTTTACGTTACAGACTAGAAAACATGAGCAAATTCACGTTGATTTTACAGCCATATGGAGGCCGCCATTGCGTGACGTCACATTTCCGGTTTTGAGCAAACTTTATTGCACACATGATCCTCTACAAACTGAGAGTAACTACCGTATTTTACTGCGTTCTTTGTGAATGTTAAAACAAAGTATACTTACATGTACATATACACGCAACACGGCTTTCACCGTGGACGAAGCGGAGTCCAGCCCGGGGTCGTCACATGTGGTTGTCGCAAGCCCGCCGGCAGAACAGTTCAACCCAAATATTCAGATGTGTGCTGCACATTTTATGGAGGATGGATGAAGACTGTTTCCTGAACCAGTAGCCTACAATGCGTCTGTGGCACAAAGGCTGTTTCTATAAAGTTGGGCAGTTCCAACTTTGCAGTCTGGCGCTGGCGCTTCTGACTCACAGCCTGTAAGTACGTTTTTTATATTTAAATAATTTGCCACTGATGATTCAAACGCGAGTTTTGGGCAGTGTAGAGTAGGGCTTGTTGTTTGTTGTTTCTCCGATCACAAATGTAGGCATGGTTTTATGTTTAGGTGGCTCGATATGCAACGCAACGCGTAAAAACACAGTATAAGTCATTATAATCAGTAATTATGTCCCCACTGGATGCAACAAATGCCTCGTTTGTAATGGGTTTTATTGGTTTTGTCTCGTCTAGTGATGTCCGGATCGCGAACCAATCGTTCTATTTAACCGGATCTTCTTAGTGAACCGGTCGAACCAGTTCACCAAATCGAACTGAATCATTTGAAACTGTTCGCGTCTCCAGTACGCACTAATCCACAAATTACGTAAGTTATTCGGTTTATAAACGTGCCTGACACTCCCTCTGACGCGAAATAAACCAATATCCCGAGTTATTCAGTTACTCCTAACAGTACATTGACTGAACTGCTAAAAGAGAACCGATGATGGGATGTGCACGAGCAGAGCAGCTAGACTGAGTTTCGTCCTGTTGGGACACGGCATCACAGTATGGTAAGGGGCGTAACATTTCCGTCACACGCTTGAGGCATTTGGCCAATCACAACGCACTGGATAGCTGGCCAATCAGAACACACCTCGCTTTTTTAGAACGATGAGCTTTGTAAAAATCGACGCGTTTCAGAAAGGCGGGGCATAGAG